TGTTCATGGCCAAAACGAACATAATTATGAGAACTGAAATGTGTTAGGAAGAATCATGTAGGAGTATATCATCGTTTACACAAACGGTAGAACAGTTCAAATACCTGGTTAGCTAGTAAAGTAAACATGCTTTGACAATGGAAGGTTTAAAGGATTAACCTACATATCTTATGCAGGTTTCAACCATTGAACTTTATCAAGTTGTTATGTGTTACATTAATGTGTCGCTCACAATTTTCATTCATGTGGGGGGTTGTTGGAAAAAATGAGTATATGGCCGACTTTAGCTTGAGTTTTGAGTGGGACCCATTTGGCTATTTTGGAAGATAAAAATTGATTTGTATTCTCCTATGTGAGTACATCGAAATTATATATTTACTTGCCAAAATTGATGCTCGGGATGACTGAGAAATCGAATCTCAAAGTATGCCAATTAAAAGGAGTTTGTATTGGTGAGAAAACTAGAAATGTGTTTGTCCCACATAGGAAGTTGATGAAAACAAAAACCACTTTAAATATGGTTGCACTTTGGAATGGTGTAATCATGTGTAGCATAGAGGCTCTCTCCACGTGCACACGCAGGGGGTGCAAATCACGGATCGAAAAAGGTTTCGGACCTTGAACTCGTATCCGATTGCGACCTGCGTACACGAATGTCGGACTGAAAAGAGCAAAATTGGCCCCCTAGGAGTGTCCATGTTTTGCTACATTTTTGTTTTATTCAACTGACTTTTCATTTTCTGAAATTGTTGAAACTCCGATAGTAATTGTCATTAAGTGAATGAGCAAGTTACATTCTCAAGAACCAAGTCTATATATGTCTTGTTTTCCACTTTTCATATACACATGAATTCATTTGAAAAAACATACACGAAGAAAAAAAACTGTCTGCATACATTTTTAATTTCTGTTTGAGTCTTGGAGGTGGTATTGTTCAGACACTAAATCAGTTAGTCGAAGTAGTATCTATGGTGCTCAAAAATTACTAGTTTTACAGTTGTATCCTGAGAAACAAACGCTTGATTTAAACCTCAAACTCAGAGGGTAAGGGGCAAATCTGTTTTAAGGAAACTATATGTAACATAGGCCTCAGGTTAAAAGTTTTACCGTTTAATTCGTTTTTTCCCTTGTTTGTTACTTGTTTTTGCGTATTGATATTTTGCCGTTCTCTTTAAATTACTTGTTACGTCTTACTGTAATTAACAGATCATTAAATCTGTTACATATAATTGAATCTGTTATATTCAAAATTATATGCAAAAAGGGTATTCAGTGTTTAGATTCACTACATATACGGTATGCTCCAATCCGGTATTAAAACTGTAAATTCGATATCTAGTATGTAAATTCAGTATCTAGTACTGAAACACTAATCCAACAGTTACTTGGACAAGAAGCAATTGGTTGTTGCACAGATATGTGCAGAAGCAGAATTTTGACCGCTGGCTCAAGGTACAGTGAAGGAATGTCTTAACTACTTAAGAGACTACTTAAGGAACTCAAGACTCCTACAGAAGATCCAATGGTCGTTTTGTGACAAGTAGACCGCAATCAGCATTGCTAAAAATCATGTTCATGACATGACCAAGCATGTGGAGTCTAAAAGTCATTTTATCAAAGAGAAAATAGAAGGGATCCTGACTTTGAATTATGTGCCAACACATCATCAAGTGGCTGATTTCCTCACCAATGAGCTTGCAAGGATAAAATTCGAAGGAAAAACTTCCAAAGCTCGAGGAGTGTTGAAAGAACCAAGATTTACCTATTATTGTCTTTCTGTTTTAGGAAAAAAAAATCTTATTATGTGTGATAAGGTTATTGAAAGGCCAAGACCCACATGTATTAGAGTCAAGATACAAGAAACGTAAAAA